TAATCCCAGCACTTTGGGAGGCTGAGGTGGGTGAATGACAAGGTCAGGAGATCAAGACCATCCTGGCTAACATGGTGAAACCTCATCTCTACTGAAAATACAAAAAATTATCCAGACATGGTGGCACATGCCTGTAGTCTCAGCTACTCAGGAGGCTGAGGCAGGAGAATAGCTTGAACCAAGGAAGCTGAGGATGCAGTGAGCCAAGATTGTGCCACTGCACTTCAGCCTGGCGACAGAGAGCATCCGCCTCAAAATAAAATAAAATTCTCCATAGCATGCAATACTGTTTGATAGCATTTTACCCACAGTAGAATTTCCCTCAAAATTGGAGTCAATCCTCTCAAATACTATCACTGCCTTAGGAACTAGGTTTATGTAACAGTCTAAATATTTTGTTGACATTTCAACTATGTTCATAGCACTTTCACCAGAGTCGATTTCATCTCAAGAAATCACTTTCGGCCGGGCGCGGTGGCTCAAGCCTGTAATCCCAGCACTTTGGGAGGCTGAGGCGGGTGGATCACGAGGTCAAGAGATCGAGACCATCCTGGTCAACATGGTGAAACCCCGTCTCTACTAAAAAATCCAAAAAAAATTAGCTGGGCATGGTGGCGCGTGCCTGTAATCCGAGCTACTCAGGAGGCTGAGGCAGGAGAATTGCCTGAACCCAGGAGGCGGAGGTTGTGGTGAGCCGAGATCGTGCCATTGCACTCCAGCCTGGGTAACAATCGAAACTCCGTCTCAAAAAAAAAAAAAAAAAAAAGAAATCACTTTCTTTGCTCATCTATAAGAAGCAACTCCTCATCTGTTCAAGTTTTATCGTGAGATTTGAGCAATTCAGTCACATATTCAGGCTCCACTTCTGATTCTAATTCTCTTGCTGTTTCCACCACATCTGCAATTACCTCCTCCACTGATGTCCTGAACCCCTCAAAGTCATCCATGACAGTAGGAATCAATGTCTTTCAAACTCTTATTTTTGTTGATATTTGGACCTCCTCCCATGAATTATGAATGTCAATAGCATCTAAAATGGTGAATCCTTTCCAGAAGGTTTTCAATTTACTTTGCCCAGATCCATTACAGGAATCATTGTATATGGAATGTATTTCTTAAATAAAAAGACTTGAAAGTTGAAATTACTCCTTGGCCCATGGGCTACAAATAGAGGTTGTGTAAGTAGGTATGAAGCAACATTATTCTCCTTGTACAACTCCATCAGAGCTCTTGGGTGACCAGGTGCCCTGTCAAGGAGCAGTACTATTTTGAAAGAGCTCTTTTTTTCTAAGCAGTAGATCTAAACAGTGGACTTAAAATTTTCAGTAAACCAGCTGGGTGCAGTGGCTCATGCCTGTAATCCCAACACTTTGGGAGGCTCAGGCAGGCGGATCACAAGATCTGGAGTTCGAGACCAGCTTGACCAACATGGTAAAACTCCATCTCTACTAAAGATACAAAAATTAGCCAGGCATGGTGGTGCATACCTGTAATCTGAGCTACTCAGGTGGCTGAGGCAGGAGAATCACTTGAACCCAGGAGGCGGAGGTTGCAGTGAGCTGAGATCACACCACTGCACTGCACTCCAGCCTAGGTGACAGAGCAAGACTCCACCTCAAAAAAAAAAAAAAAAAAAAAAAAATCAGTAAACTATGCTGTAAAAACAAAACAAAACAAAAATAAAAACGCGTTGTCAGCTGGGTGAGGTGGCTCATGCCTGTAATCCCAACACTTTGGGAGGCCGAGGTGGGGAGATCATCTGAGGTCAGGAGTTCGAGACCAGCCTGACCAACTTGGTGACCAACTTTAGTCTCTACTAAAAATACAAAAATTAGCCAAGGCTGTAATCCCAGCTACTCCAGAGGCAGAGGCAGAACTGCTTGAACCCAGAACCCTGGGGGCAGAGGTTGCAGTCAGCTGAGATCGTGCCACTGCACTCCAGCTTGGGCAACAGAGCAGGACATCTCAAAAAAAGGGAAGAGGAATGCTTCGTTACCCTAAAAATTAAAAACAAATAAATTTTTTTTAATGTGCTGTCATCCAGGCTTTGTTGTTCCATTTATAGAGCACAGGCAGAGTAGATACAACATAATTCTCAAGGGCCCTAGGCTTTTCATAATGGTAGCAGAGCACTGGCTTCAATTTAAAGTCACCAGCTACATTAGCCCCTAATAAGAGTTAGCCTATGCTTTAAAGCCTTAAAGCCACGCACTGACTTCTCTCTAGCTATGAAAGTTCTAGATGTCATCTTCTTTCAACAGAAGGCTATTTCAGCTACACTGAAAACTGTTGTTCAGTATAGCCACCCTTATTAATTATTTCAGTCAGATCTTCTGGCTAATTTGCTGCAGCTTCTACATAAGCACCCTGTACTTTTATGTTATGGTGATGGCTTCTTTCCTTAAACCTGATGAACCAATCTCGTCTAGCTTCAAACTTTCTTCTGTAGCTACCTTACCTTTGTTGGCATTCACAGAATTGAAGAGAGTTAGGGCCTTGCTCTGGATTAGGTTTTGGCTTAAGGGAATGTTATGGCTGGTCTGATCTTCTTTCCAGATCACTAAAACTTTCTCCATATCGGATAAGGTTATTTTGCTTCTTACTATTCATGTGTTCACTGGATTAGCACTCTTAATTTCCTTAAGAACTTTTTCTTTGTATTCACAATTTGGTTAGTTGTATTGTGCAAGAGGCCTACCTTTTGGCCTATCTCAGCTTTCTGTAGGTCTTCCTCACTAAGCTTAATCATCTCTAGCTTTTGACTTAAAACAAGAGATGTCCAACTCCTCCTTTCCACTGAATACTTATGGACAATTGTAGGGTTATTAACTGCCCTACTTTCAGTATTGTTGTGTCTCAAGGAATAGGGAGGCCCAAGGAGAGGGAGACAGATGGGGGAATGGCCTGTTGTGGAGCAGTCAGAATACACATAAGGTTGGGTATGGTGGCTCATGCCTATAGTTCCAGCACTTTGGGAGGCCAGACAGGAAGATCACTTGAGTCCAGGAGTTTGAGACTGGACACCATAGCGAGACTACATCTCATGCCTATAATCCCAGCACGATGGGAGGCCAAGGCAGGAGGATCACTTGAGTCCAGGAGTTTGAGACCAGCCTGGGCACCATGGTGAGACTACATCTCTACAACAACAATAACAACAACAACTTTTAAATGAGCCAGGCATAGTGGTACATGCCTATAGTCCCAGCTACTCAGGAAGCTGAGGTGGGTAGACTGATTGAGCCCAAGAGGTCAAGGCTGCAGTGAGCCATGACAGTGCCACTGCACTTTAGCAGCCTGGAGCCTAGATGACAGAATGAGATCCTATCTCTAAAATAACAACAACAAAACCCATGACACTGATAGATTAAATTTGCCATCTTATTTGGGCATGGTTCAGGGTGCCCCAAAACAATTACAACAGTAACATCACAGATCACTGATTAGAGACTGCCATATAGATATAGTAATAATGAAAACATTTGAAATATCATGAGATTTAAAAAATGTGGGACAAAGACATAGTTTGAGCACACGCTGTTGAAATATTGGCACCCAATAGACTTGCTTGATGTACAGTTGGCACAAACCTTCCATTTGTAAAAAGCATGTGCAATAAAGCAAACCATGATAAAACAAGGTATGCCTATATTTGATATAAGTGGTCAAGAAGTATGGAGGGATATTTGGAGAGCATTGAAGAAGCTGACAAGACTAGATTTGAAACTTTCCTGCAATTAGATAAAAAAGGATTGCAAAAACATCACTTTGATCTAGGAAAAGTACTCTCTCACAAGAGAAGAGGTGGAACTGATCAGGAAAACAGAGGCTTCTGAAAGAACGGTCAAGACAGACTGAAAAACTAGGAAGACTGATTTGGTCAGTTACATCACAGTGCTTTCAATAGACAGAGGGGACAACAAAGAATTGAAAGAGAAAATTTGCCTTTATTGAAAAAGCTTATAGCTATGAAACCAAGAGTTGGTATGAAACAGAACAACTGAGGGACTATCACCATGATATAGGTTATCTCAGCTCATCACCATCATTGAGATGAGTGAGATCTACTCTCGGCCAATATAGCCCATTAAGAAAAGCTTCCAGGACATCCAGTGCTACCAGTGGTCTCAGTTGCTAAAGTAAGCAATCAGTTTTTCTTTTCTTTTTTTTTTTTTTTAAACTTTAATTTATTTATTTAATTTTTTTTTTTTTTTTTTTTTTTTTTTGAGACGGAGTTTTGCTCTTGTTACCCAGGCTGGAGTGCAATGGCGCGATCTCGGCTCACTGCAACCTCCGCCTCCTGGGTTCAGGCAATTCTCCTGCCTCAGCCTCCTGAGTAGCTGGGATTACAGGCACGTGCCACCTTGCCCAGCTAATTTTTGGTATTTTTAGTAGAGACGGGGTTTCACCATGTTGACCAGGATGGTCTCGATCTCTCGACCTCGTGATCCACCCGCCTCGGCCTCCCAAAGTGCTGGGATTACAGGCTTGAGCCACCGTGCCTGGCCTAAGTAAGCAATCAGTTTTTGACATATCCAGTGGTCTGTTGCTAAGACCTAAGCCCCCTAATGTCCATACAGCTTGGTTATAAAACTTTTTTATACCAAAAACAAACAAACAAAAAAGGTGGTGATTCTTTAATGGGACAGAACTAAAATACTGGTCAACAGCATGTAAGTTGGAAGATGGGGTGATTAGAGATAAAGTGTGCTAAAGGTCCTTGTACTGTTTAGGACAAGAATAAAGGTATTGACCCAGAGAGCTCCCTTGCTCTTCCACCATGTGAGGACGCAGCGAGAATGCGCTATGGCCCCACCACGCATCTGTGAACCAGGAAGTGAGTCCTCACCAGACAGTGTCTGCCGGTGCCTTGATCGTAGGGTTCCAGCCTCCAGAACTGTTCAGGGGTCGCCTCTAGCTTCCTAGGACGGCCAGCCATGGCACCCGTCAGCAGGAAGCGCCGCAGGAGGGCTGCCAAGACCCAGCTGAAGGCTCAAGTTATGGCCTCCCAGGACAAGGAGCAAGCAGGAAAGGATCAAATAAGCGATGAGCGTGAGGAGAGAAATCCCTTTACAGAAACAGGGAAGGAAGATGTAACTGCTGGGCATGGGGAAACAGAACCTTTTGCTGAAACACATGAACACAAGGGGGTTGATACCAAGAAGCCAGAAGATATTGCAGCTGGCATTAGCAAGGGTCTTGCTGCAAAAAGAAGAAGGATTGAAATGGATACAGAGGCTCGCAGCAAAGCAAAGAAGAAGAAAAGTAAACGTGCTTTGAGGAAAAAACAACGTAAAAAGCAGAAACGTGATTATAAACATTCTCTGAAGTTGCTGAATGTCCTTGATAAATGCATCACAGATGAGCAGAAAAACGAAGAAGAAGAGAGAGAAGAAGAACTAATTAAAATATTTCAAGAACAACAGAAGAGGTGGTACCGATATAGAAGTCTTAGGAGAGAGAGGCTGAGAGAGATGAAGCTGCTACGTGAGCAATTCGTAAAGGTTATCAAGAAGTTTGAAGACTATTATCGTGGAGTTTTTTATGATGAAGCCAATGAATTTGATAACTAGCCATGTTTTTAAATTGTGTCAGAGACTCTGTAGGAAGAGTTGGCCCTTAGTTGTCTCTCCAACCTGAGTTATGCTGACTGAAGAAAGAACTTGAACCTGTTACATGATACAAACATAATTTGAACTACACTAAACCACATGACAATGTTTTGATAATTCTTGTATATCTTCTCTATCATTTTTCTGTTTGTTAAATACCAGACCTTGATTCTATGATCTGTTGAATGAACCCTAGACACTTCTGTGAGAAAGCAGCAATTGCACAGTTATGTACACGGTCAATTAAAATTTAACATTAAAGATAATTTAAATTTAAAAAAAAAGGATAAAGGTATTGATTAACTTTAGACTTTGGTAAGCATAGAGAGTAATACATCAATTAAAGAAACAAAATAGCCAGGCATGGTGGCATGATCCTGTAATCTTAGCTACTTGGGAAGCTAAGGTGGGAGGATCACCGGAGCCCAGAGCTAAGACCAGCCTGGGCACATAGCAAGGCCCCCATCACAAAACAAACAAACAAACAAAACAAAACAAAACAAAAACTAAAAAGAACAGAAATAAGCCAGGCATGGTGGCTTATTTATACCTACAATCCTAGTGCTTTGGGAGACCTAGGTGGGAGGATCACTTGAGGCCAGGAGTTCAAGACTAGCCTGAGAAACATAGAAAGACTCTGTTTCTCAAAAAAGTAAACAATAAAAAAATTGCGCCGGGCGCGGTGCCTCAAGCCTGTAATCCCAGCACTTTGGGAGGCCGAGGCGGGTGGATCACGAGGTTGAGAGATCGAGACCATCCTGGTCAACATGGTGAAACCCCGTATCTACTAAAAGTGCAAAAAATTAGCTGGGCATGGTGGCACGTGCCTGTAATCCCAGCTACTCAGGAGGCTGAGGCAGGAGAATTGCCTGAGCCCAGGAGGCGGAGGTTGCGGTGAGCCGAGATCGCGCCATTGCACTCCAGCCTGGGTAACAAGGGCGAAACTCTGTCTCAAAAAAATAAAAATAAAAAATAAAAAAATAAAAAAATAAAAAAATTAGGGGCCGGGCGCAGTGGCTCATGCCTGTAATTCCAGCACTTTGGGAGGCCGAGGCGGGTGGATCACGAGGTCAAGAGATCGAGACCATCCTGGTCAACATGGTGAAACCCCGTCTCTACTAAAAACACAAAAAATTAGGTGGGCATGGTGGAGCGTGCCTGTAATCCCAGCTACTCAGGAGGCTGAGGCAGGAGAATTGCCTGAACCCAGGAGGCGGAGGTTGCGGTGAGCCGAGATCGCGCCATTGCACTCCAGCCTGGGTAACAAGAGCGAAACTCCATCTCAAAAAAAATAAATAAATAAAAATAAAAATAAAAAATAAAAATAAAAAAATTAGCTGGGCACAGTGCCACATTACTGTAGTCCTAGCTTCTTGGGTGGCCGAAGAAGGAGGATCACTTGAGCTCAGGAGTTTGAGGTTACAGTGAGCTATGATCATATTACTGCCCTCTAGCCTGGAAAACATGGAGAAACCCTGTCTCTACTAAAAATACAAAAATTAGCTGGGACTACAGGCATGGACCACCACACTTCGCTAATTTTTAAATATATTTTTTTGGTAAAGACAAGGCATCACTATGTTGCCCAGGCTGGTCTTGAATTCCTGGGCTGAAGCAATCCTCTCCCCTTGGCCTCCCAAAATGTTGGGATTACAGGCATGAGCCACCACACCCAGCCGAATTTAAGGTTTTTTGTTTTTGTTTTTGAGACAGGATCTGGCTATGTCACCTCGGCTGGAATGTAGTGGCACGATCTTGTCTTACTGCAACTTTTACCTTCCAGGCTCAAGCCATCCTCTGGCTTCAGCCTCCTGAGTAGCTGGGACTATAGGCGTGCACCACCATACTTGGCTGTTTATTTTTTGTAGGGACGAGGTCTCACTATGTTGCCCTGGCTGGTCTTGTACTCCTGATTTCAAAGAGTCCTCTCACCTCAACCTCCCAAAGTATGGGGATTTTAAGTGTAAGCCATCACACCTGACCTACATTTATTTTTAATATATCACTAGATTTGGTTTCCTGCTAGTTAGGATTTTTACATGGTGAGACTGGCCTGTCATATTCCTTTCCTGTACATTTCTTCTTGATTTTGATATAAAGACTATACTGAGTTGGGGAGTGTTCCATCTACTGTTCTCTGGAAAAGTTTGTACAAGACTGAAGTGTTCCGTTATTCCTTGAACATTTGGCAGAACTCACCTATACCATTTGAATTTTATTTTTTGTGGGAAGATTTTTAACTAGTGACTCAATTTTTTTTTTTTTTTTCCTGGAGACAGAGTCTCCCTCTGTTGCCCACACTAGAGTGCAATGCCACGATCTCGGCTCACTGAAACCTCCTCCTTCTGGGTTCAAGAGATTCTCCAGCCTCAGCCTCCCGAGTAGCTGGGATTACGGGTATCCATCACCACGCCCAGCTAATTTTTGTATTTTTAGTAAAGATGGGGTTTCACTGTGTTGGCCAGGCTGGTCTCAAACTCCTGACCTCAAGTGATCCACCTGCCTTAGCTTCCTAAAGTACTGGAATTACAGGTGAGAGCCACCATGTTCGGCCAAGATAATATTTTTATTTTTTTGTAGAGATGGGGTCTCACTATGTTGCCTAGGGTAGTCTCAAACTCCTGGGCCCAAGGGATCCTCCCTCCTTGGCTTCCCAAAGTGTTGGGATTACAGGAGCGAGTCACCATGCCAGGCCGACCTTGTGTAATTTCTGAAAACACACAAATCCCTCCATATCCCCTCACAAGTCTCGCATTTCTTAAGGTGGGCATTTTAGGGTTGGCAACATCACTGCTTCAGTGATGAATTAGGATTCGACTGATGAATCCTAAAAGGAATACTAAATATTTTTAGATTTTAATTGTGCTTTAAAGGAAAGACCTCAAGGTTTGACGACAAAAAGACCTAGATTTGAATCCTGGCTCTAACAAGCCGCGTGACCTGAGATTAATCAACCCCTTCAACAGAAACGTCCGGACCGCTGGCCACAGGCGGAGGGGTACACGTAGGGCAGGAACGCTTGGCTGATAAATATGAGGTCCTTTCCCTCTAGAGTTCACAGTTTAAGAGAAGGCTGACAGAAAAAAAAAAAAAAAAATTAAATACATTTAAATATATATATATATATATATATATATGTAGATCTCCACAGTCTGCCAACAACAGGTCTTTCCTCACTCTCTTGAGCTCATTTTTCACACAGCTACAAACTGCTTCTTTAAAATGCACACTGGGTTAAATTACTTGCCTGAACATAGTCCTCCAATTGTTCCTCTATGTCCTCAGGACAAAAAGCCCCGGAGTTCGGCCGCGTGCGGTGGCTCACGCCTGTAATCCCAGCACTTTGGGAGGCCGAGGAGGGTGGATCATGAGGTCAAGAGATCGAGACCATCCTGGTCAACATGGTGAAACCCTGTCTCTACTAAAAATACAAAAAATTAGCTGGGCATGGTGGCTCGTGCCTGTAATCCCAGCTACTCAGGAGGCTGAGGCAGGAGAATTGCCTGAACCCAGGAGGCGGAGGTTGCAGTGAGCCGAGATCGCGCCATTGCACTCCAGCCTGGGTAACAAGAGCGAAACTCCGTCTCAAAACAAACAAACAAACAAACAAACAAAAAAAAAAAGCCCCCGAGTTCGGCCTGGGCCTCACGCACTCCCGACGCTCTCGCTTAGCCGGCTTCCCTCTCACGTGGCGTCCTCACGGGTCAACTTTGACTCCTCCCATGCCGTCGCACAACTGGCATCTGATTGGTCAGCATGGAGGAAGGAGTGGGCATGCGCGATCTAGCTCCTCCTTCCGCCCCTAAGTTGAGTTCCTCGAATCAGAAGAAAGCTTGGGTTCTTCTCCTTCCCAAGCCCCAACTTTTATTGGAGCATAATTGTCATTAGATAAATTGCATATGGCCGGGCGCGGTGTCTCACGCCTGTAATCCCAACCCTTTGGGAGGCAGAGGCAGGTGAATCTCCTGAGGTCAGGAATTCTAGACCAGCCTGACCTACATGGCGAAACCCCGTCTTTACTAAAAATACATTAGTCAGGCGTGGTGGCGCATGCCTGTCATCCCAGCTACTCGGGAGGCTGAGGCAGGAAAATCGCTTGACCCGGGGAGGCAGAGGTTGCAGTGAGCCAAGATTGTGTCACTACATGTAGCCTGGGCAACAGGAGCGAAACTAAAAACAAGACAAAACAAAACAAAACAAAACAGCAAGCAAGCAAACAAAAAGCTACACACATTTAAAGTGTGCGGTCTGATGAGGTTTGACACAATTATACACACATGAAACCTTCACAACAATCAAGATAACAACCTTATTCATTCCCTCCAAAACTTTACTTGGGCCCCTTTGTTTCCTGCCTCTCGTCCCTCTTTGCCCTTTCCTCTACAACTGCTAATCTCTTTTCTGTCGCCATAGATGAGTTTTCGTTTTGTAGCATTTTATATAACTGGAATAATTTGGGGGAGAACAGGTCTGGCTTCTTCCACTCACCACGAGTATTTTTTTTTTGAGATTCACCCATGTTGTTGTGTGAATCAATAGTTCGTTTCCCTGGACCTTACCATCACTTTTCACAACAAGAAAGGAAGAAAAAAAAAGTTCTTTCCATTTTATTGCTGAGTGTGCTCCACTGTATGGATGACAATTTGTATATTTATTCACATGTTGATGGACATTTGGGTTGTTTTCAGTTTGGTACCGTTATAAATAAAATAGCTATGACCATTTGTCTGAAAATCTTTTAAACATTTCCTTATTTTTATTTTGGAGACAAGATCTCACTTTGTCACTTAGGCTAGAGTGGAGTGCAGTAGCACCATCATAGCTCACTGCAGCCTGCAGCCTTGACCTCTCAGGCTCAAGCCATCTCAGGCCTCAGCGTCTGGAGTAGCTGGGACCACACCACCACTCCTGGCTAATTTTTTTTGGCACAGGTGGAGTCTTGCTATGTTGCCCAGGCTGGT